CTCTCTCTATACTACTCTCTCTCTCTCTCTCTCTCTCTCTCCTCCTCTCTCTCTCTCTCTCTCTCTCTCCTCATCTCTAGACTGTTGCCCAGTCTTTCCAGTGACTGGCTAGTTATCAAAATTTTGTTCTATTGTTCACACTTCAACGATGAATAATAGGAATACGATAGGATCATAGGAGGTGCCTCTGACGGAAACAGATGGACGGTAGAAGATTTCAAGTTAGTTATTAAGGTCAAACGTTGATCGTAATTGAATTTGATAGAGAATATTCCGCGTTCTATCGACGCTTTTATGATTGGTAAAGGGTGTGTCAATGGGAACAGAGCAAATCGATAAATAACTGATTTGTTTCAATTTTCACAAACGTTCCGACATCATCCGCTTCGTCATGGAAGATAAAAGGCTGATAAAAATTGTATGTTCATTGTAAATGGTGAAATAGTAGTGAAAATGAAATTGTAGTTAAAGAAAATTATCGTGTTAGTGATAGTATCGGAGCTATGAAAAAAAGCTAGTTTAGCCGATACGATTTACAACAATCAAACTAATAATTCATATTTTACTCTTACAGTAAAATGACTAGAATAATATATAAGAAAATGAAAGATAATAAGGAAACATATTGAGAACACAGCAAACGAAAATCGATCTAGGTCCATCAGACGTTGACCTTTGCTCTTAGTTGCATAATTGCTCTATTCTATAATTAAAACGAGTTCAGCATGTTACGTCACGAACGGAAAGTTGGTCACCACGAGGTAACAGTACAACGTTGTCCCCGATGCTCCACTTTGGAAGTCGTCCGTCGAACGCTTAGTTAGAAAAGTTGGCTCGGTCGTTATTCCTATTCGCGCGCATCAGCCGGCTTTGTCCGTTATCAAAAAACGATACGCATGTAAACGAGAACTAGTAATTGATAATACGTCATCGGTGTCGACAAAGGATATGAGATAAAGCTCCCTCGGTCTCCCAGATCTAAATTCATGTTTGGAATCAGTTACTAACAAGCCAATCGTACGCAATAAAGTGGCATGAAATGCGGCTACGTGCAACGAAACGTGCAGATTCGCACGACAGAACCTGCGATCAGCGCACGAGGAAATTACAACGACGAGGCAGGTTATCGGCAAAGGACAGCCCCGGGCTGTACACGATCATTTCTATGGAAAGTGATATGTTCGGCTAGCTCTCATTCTCGGTCACATCCCTTCATCATAAGTCGTAGCACTCTATTATACATACGGAAGTTTAATCTCTCCTCCACATTGCTCTCACGCACGTGTAGTTGATAAATTTCCAACTATCATCCTCGGACGTGATAGTTGATCATCCTTATTACATATCGCCTCAACAAATATTTGACCAGTTATAATTAAAGAGATGAATTCAGAGAAGATACTATTTGACTTTGTCGATTTTCGAAGTTATATTCTAAAATT